CGCCTACCCAGCAGCCGCAGCAGCAAAAGCCTGGAGGGCCCGCTCGCCCTGCGGGTGAGTAGTTCGCGGAGCCCGGATGGGCGGAGGCGGTTGGTAGCTTATTCACGGGGTCAGGGCGCGCCGCCATCTTTTTTTCTTTCGGCGGCCGCGGCAACTCGTCCTTCGGGGATTTCCAGGCCTCGCGCGCCGCGTGTCTCGGAGGAGGAGGGGCGCTTGCGCCATTTCGCGAGAGCAATGAGGAAGGGGCGCGGGGGAAGGGCGGCCCGGAGGAGCCGCTGGGGCGCGCTGTGGAACGCACGGGGGAACGTTTGTGCTGTTGTGCGTCACATCCGCTCGTGAGGCGCTGTAGGCTGGAGTTCAAACACGAAGTACAATGGAGGCGGGCGAATCTTTCTCTTCCGATTTAGGCCTCTCGCTGCGGCTTGTGTCTTTGGGTGAGGGTTACGGGGTCTCTTTGGAGCCGCCTTCAAATTTAGTGAGCGGAAATGATGCCTGAAGTGGCGAAATCGCTGCCTAGCCCTGGGAATAAGACGGAAGGCGGTGGATGGGTGTATTGGAGGGTTGTTGCTTAGTCAGCTGCAGGGCCGCAGTAATAAATACTTTAATTCTCGCTTCCAGAGCAGGATTTTTATCCCTTCGCTGCATTTTACTATTTTGTTTCTAATATACTTCCATTTTTTTTCTCTAAAAATTCCAAGGGGAAACTAAAACTGAACAAAAACCTGGTGAGAAAAAAAGGGGAGTGAAAAGACCACGGGAGGACCACGGACGAGGCTATTTTGAGTATATTGAAGAGAACAAATATAGCAGGTAATAAGTGGCATTTAAATTTCTTTAATGAAATATTTAAATGCTTTCTGATAGTTGAATTCAAGTGCCTTTTTTAATTGATCAGGGCCAAATCACCACAGCCACCTGTTGAAGAAGAGGATGAACACTTTGATGACACAGTGGTTTGTCTTGATACTTGTAAGTAAAAAATGTGTGCTGGTCTCTTAAAAGGTACTTCTTGGGTAAGACTTTGAGGAGCTACTTATGCTTATTACCACATCTGAGGTACAATTTCTGTTTTTATTTATGAATTGACTGTTTAATGTATGTTACTGTTGTAATTTATTGAGATAGAGTTTAGAAATGTGCTAATGGTGAAAAGCAAAATGAGAAACTGACACTGACAGCTTATACCGATATAGATGAGTGTATTTTGTATCTAAGCCTATATGTTAAGTAACTTATTTCATTTTTTAAATTCTAGACAACCATTGAATTTGTTCATTAACAGAGTCACCTGATTTTTTTTATAACCTGTACAAATGAGATCTAGATTTAAAAAGGAAAAGGGGCTTTGGAGCACACATTCCACACATTTGCAGCTCCTTAAAGTAATTGCTCTTTACTGGGGGTTGCATGGTATACTGGGGAAAAAAATAATGTAGTTTAAGGAGGTGCTATTAAGTACTATGTGCAGGCTTCTGCAGTTTCTGAATTACCATTTCCCCTTCAACTACAGATCACTGTACAGCTCTAATATATATTTCATCACTCCTACATTTTCTGAAGTGTGAGTTAGTGGGAATTATTCATTGGTATATGGATGCAGAATTGCAGCTGTAATACACAGAAAATTGATAATTCAGAGCTTTAATCGGAAAATCTTACTGGCGTAATTCTGAATATATTTAAGATAAGAGCATTTGGAATAATAACATCAACTGCATATATTTAGGTTACTGTTACAGTGAAATTGTAACTTGAAATATTCACATCTTAATGGATATGATGCAACACAGTAATTGCTGATGTATTTTTAAAGTAACATTTTTCCACAGAAAAATTAGTAGTGGAATTTTACATTGCAGGTATCATTTTCTGTGCTGTAATATGGCATTATTAAATGCTGGAGTGAGGCACATAAACTAGTATTGGTAAAGTACTGCAAACTGATAGAAATCAGTTTAGAAATACATGTCTCTGTCAAGTTTACAGTAAATCAGATTTTTCTTTGCTGCAGGTTGCTTCAGCTCTGTCATGCTATGTTGCCCATAAATGGTTTAACTGATGTGTGATGACATTAAAGCCTGTTTTTAAAAAGAGGTGTACATAATATATGGAGCATGGCTATTGGAGAAAAAAACTGTTCTCCTTTACAAAAAAGCTTTATCACTTGCGTGTTCACTGTAGTTTTGAAAATAAACAGGTCGATTTGGGGATAGTGGGCCACTGTATCTGGGAAGATTTAGTTCTGAGTAAGTATATTTTACAGGGTTCAAGTCCTGATAAAGGGTCAAAATTTTAAGTTTGGCATTAAAGGAAAAATATTCTGAAGACACTAGTATAAAATTATGCTGCTTTGGGTGAAATGCAGTGGTATGTATCTGCCAGGAGAAGTTGCAGTTGTTGAAAAACATTTTCCCCTCTCTTTGTACACACCCATAAATCCAGAGATACTCCACAAATTGAAAATGATCTGGAGCTGATTTTGGGAAACACTGGGAAAGAAAACAGGAAATCCCTTAATATGAGCAGATGCTCACTCTTATGACATTGGATACTATCGTTTCATGTAACATGAACAGTTTGGTGTAAAAATCAAGTTACCAAAAATTCTGAAAGTTGTCTTAGAAATGTAGTTTTAGCTATTGCTTATGACTTGTATCTATAATATGGTACTAGGTTAACAGCATCAATTTAGGAAATTTATGATTAGTTTGGTGGTATTCAAAGCTTTCAAAGGACCCTTGAAAATCACTTAGCATGGCACCTAAGTGTAGGAATGGTGGTCTTGAAAACCATCTTGTGTACTGCTTGGATTTTCTGCTGTATTAGATATTGCAAAATATATTGAGCATACTCCAAAGGAGGGTTGGGCAAACTTCTATCATTTATTTTGTTACTAGTTTTGTGTCCACTAATCTATGTTGGATAGAGGTTAGCGAACCACATAAAAGGCTGTAAGCAAGTTAGTTAAGGGACTATAGCAAATTATGTGCTTACTGCAACCTAATAATTGAAATTGTTTATATAGTTATCTGAGTAACTCTTGATCAGGGGTCCTCACAGAACTCGAAATCTGATTCATGGAGCAATAAAAACACTTGATCAAAGATAATTGATTTGTAAGTAAAGAGCACTAAAGATATGAAATAAATAATTGATGCAAGGGCAACTTGAATTTTGATTTCCTGTTAACTGTTAAAGAGTTGGAAATGCTTGCAAAATAGCTGAAACTCACCCAGTGATCAGCTAATAGGCAGATCATCTACCTACCATCTACATTTGTTTAAAAGCACTGCAGGCACACAAATTTGTAATCTGAGAGAAACAGGTTAACTTACCAAAGTATACAAAAACAAGTATACTTTATAGTTAAACTAAATGTAGAAAATTTTAATTCTGGAGTAAGTATCCTATACATTGATCTTACTGCTTTGCTTTGGAACTTTTACAGAAAGGGCTGAATTCAGTTACAACACATCCATGGTAATTCAGAAATACATGCAAGTTGTTTTTTTTAATCACCAAAATAATTTGGACTACACTTTAGTATTTGGTTCTTAAAGGTGCTCTTCATTTTCATGTTAGAATGTACTATAACAGATTTCAACTGTATCCCACCTCCCCCTTTTTTTTGGGACAGATAACTGTGACCTACACTTTAAAATTTCAAGAGATCGTTTTAGTGCTTCCTCATTAACTATGGAAAGTTTTGCCTTTCTCTGGGCTGGAGGAAGAGCTTCTTATGGAGTTTCGAAAGGAAAAGTCTGTTTTGAAATGAAAGTAAGTCAAATTAATAGTGGTGTTAGGTGCTCATTGATACTGGTGAAAGTATTTGAGTTTCTGCTGAAGCACAACTTATAAGGACAAAGAAGATACTTTGTGTAGTATTTGAAGGTACTCCAAATATGTACCAGGCTTAATTGAAAAATAACGTTAATGTTTAAAGAGTATAATGCCCCCTTTGTTTTTTTTTTAAAACTTAACTAGGCAGTAAGAAAAGAATTATTGGCTTTTGGGAAAAATTATATTATTATTAAACTTTTATATGGCATGAGTAATTTGTTAAAAACAATTAAAAATGTAGACTTCTATGTAACCAAAATAACATAATCCATACACAAAAGGGAATGCATCTTTAGGTTCGGGTTTGCAAAAGTAGCAAGAAAGCTTCAGTGGGAAAATCAGTTGTGCTCAATGTGTATGTTATAGCATGATGGCTCATAAGTGGAGAGGAAAGATATGCCTGTCTAGCTGAAATCCTGAAGAGAGGTCCTTGGCGCTGCAATATATTTTTAGCTGTTCTTATTGTCAAAACTAAATGCTATTTTTTTCTATGGGATAGGTAACTGAAAAAATTCCTGTTAAGCATCTGTATACAAAAGACATTGACATACATGAAGTGAGAGTTGGCTGGTCGCTAAATACAAGTGGGATGCTGCTTGGTAAGATTTTTTCCTAGTCACCTTGTGGAGTTAAGTTCCTGCCATTCTGAGATGGGAGAGCACAAAACCTGTTGAGTTACTTTTTGAAAGCTTTGGTTAATTATAGCCTGTTTGGAAATAGTGAAGCTTATATGTGATAGTTTAATAGCAGGCCAGTTAGGTGTCTTTTGTTCCTCTCTCTCCCCCGCTCCCCCCCAAGTTCTTAGCAAAACCATTTCATCCTTAGGTTCTCTCAGTAATGGGAAGATAAAGCAGCTTGTATGTGATGTGCTATATTTTGAATAAATGCCAGGGTATACAAAACATTTGTCTTGAATTGGTTCAAGTGCCTTGGTGTTGCAAACTTGAAACAGTTATTCATGGGTATGATTGAACTTGAAACTGGATGTTTTGTAGTCAGAACAAGTCAAAATGAAATATTTTGTTTTAACCCTTATAAATGCTTTTCATGCTTTTTGAAAATTTATTAAACTTTACCACACCACAATCAAATTACTCTTAGCAGCTTCCAAGATACACAATACAGTAATTAAAATTTTCATTGTAAAAAAGCAACACAAGTGACAAAGTTAAAAAGAAAAAAGCTCACTTTCACTTTTGGGAGTTCTTAGGCAATGGAATGGATAAAGTGCAGATTCTACCTCTGTAGGATAAGACTGGAAGGAATAATTTCTTATATGTCAAGGAAAGGGTTATAAGAAATACGTTTTAGAAACATCACTCATCTTTGTCAAATTTAGCTCTATTCTCACTCATCCACCTACTTGGGCCCATCTAGGGGAATGGGTTTGATGTTTTTGACAGTCTGGGTTATTACTCTGCTTGTAAAGAATAACTATCTAGAGATTGGAGTAGAATCCTATAGAGAACCTCCTTGGATAGAAAACAAATAGTGGGATTTGTTCATTTGATGTAGGCATTAACACCCCCCTTCCCCCCCCCAAAAAAACTTACTCATTTTCTCTGATATGTAATTTGTCTTGTGCCATTAGTGGTAGGTTTCCATGTTTTCTATAGTTTGAAAGCCTCATCTGCAGTTGTTTGTATTTATCAGGTGAGGAGGAATTTTCTTATGGATACTCCTTAAAAGGGATAAAGACATGCAATTGTGAGATTGAAGATTTTGGTGAGAAATTTGATGAAAATGATGTGATTGGATGTTTTGCTGTAAGTATTACCTTATTTGGTTTGTGAATGTTATGTATTTGCTGCCACTGTGCCTTTTATGTAATTTTAATAACTGAACAACTAACTGAGTAACTTTATTGCAGTAATAAGGCTTCTGGAAAACTTGGGAACGTTCCATTTCCCTTAAGACCATGTTGAATTTTCTCCTGTACCATGTCATTCCAGAGAGTTTCCAGAAATAAATCTTCTGAACTGGAAGTGATTTGAGGTGTTCAAGAGATGATCTAACCCTGAAACAGTATATTTCATCTGGAAGCTCATACCTGTAATACCTTAAACTCCTGACTGGAGAATTTACTTAAGAGCACTGAACCTCCTTGGAACAGGATAGTCAGGGGAGGAGGTTTGGCATTGTCTGAAGTGAAGTGGAACTGAAATGTTTCCCTAGTTTTGTGATAGCTTTGCTTGACTTTCAGACTAAGTCTTAACTGTTAAATTTTAACTAGAAATCTGTTTAGATTTAGCATTTGTTTCTGATATCTAAAACTACTGAGGAACTGCCATTATGTTAATACAGTATTTTTTGTTATGGCAGAATTTTGATGGTGATGAGGTGGAACTCTCTTACTCAAAGAATGGGCAGGACCTTGGAATTGCTTTCAAGATCCCTAAGGAAGTTCTTTCTGAACGGCCCATTTTCCCACATGTCCTCTGCCATAATTGCGCAGTGGAATTCAACTTTGGCCAGAAGGATGAGCCTTATTTCCCCATACCAGAGGGGTATACATTCATCCAAAATGTTAATCTGGAAGATAGAGTTAGAGGACCCAAAGGACCAGAACATAAGAAAGACTGCGAAGTAAGTAATAGTCCACTTTGAATTAATAAAAAAATTCAGTGCTTTCCTTGAAGGAAGTATGGGGTTTTTTTTTTTTATGCTGTCTTAAAATATTATGCCCTATAATTCTGAAGCCTTATAGTTCAAGTCAGTCATTGGGGTAGATAATGAAATATTTTATTTTGAGACCTCACAATTAAAACCATGCCTAAATTCTCATTAGGTGGTAATGATGATTGGTTTGCCTGGAGCTGGGAAGACTACATGGGTCACCAAACATGCAGCAGAGAATCCTGGAAAGTATAACATCCTTGGAACAAATACTATTATGGACAAAATGATGGTAAGATCGTATTACTGTACTAATTTATGCACAATTTGTGTATATAACAGCTGTAGTTTGTTGTGACTCCACTGCCAAATTTATTATACCTTGCAAGTCATTCAGTTGACTAGTCTGTCGGTTGTAGTGTGCCTTCCAGTGAGGAGATTACATTACTAGAAAGGGCAGGGACAGAGTTTCTGGTCTTCAAGTGAGTAGGGAATACACTAAATTGCTCCTTTTTATATTTGGAAATATGGCTGTTAATGTGTTTCAGATTCTTGATTGAAATATAGTTTGGTTAATTTGTAATATTAAAACTATCCTAACTTGAGTTGAGACAGCTCTTTTTGATATTTGTTTGACATTCCAGTAATATCTGGTGTTTCAGATTTTGAAAGGTGTTGCAACTTTATTGAACTTAAAATGTCTGAGAAAACTTTAAAAATTGGTAATGATAATATGTGATACTTAATTTTGTTTTCTATAGGTTGCAGGTTTTAAGCGGCAAATGGCTGACACTGGAAAACTTAACACACTGCTTCAAAGAGCGCCTCAGTGTCTTGGCAAATTTATTGAGATTGCTGCTCGTAAGAAACGGAACTTTATTCTGGATCAGGTATGGGGGCTAGAGTTCATTGTGTTACAAAATGCAATTAAGCTGCAGTTTAAGGGGCATAGAGTCTAAGCTTCAGTGGGAAATTAAAAAGCATTTGAGGCATAAAGTTGAAATTACAGCAACTGTGCTCAAAATACAGTTGAAATCAGGGGGAAAATGGTTACCCTAGAGTCTAGGCCTAACGTACATAACTTCCTTCTACTTGTAAACTTCATTGCATTATACATGTGGAGGTGAAATCTAAGCACACTAATTTAACTTAGCTCTAACAATGACAGCTACGTGTAGTAAGTTACTGCATTTTTTTCAGACAAATGTGTCTGCAGCTGCGCAGAGGAGAAAAATGTGCCTGTTTGCAGGCTTCCAGCGCAAAGCAGTTGTTGTTTGCCCAAAAGATGAAGACTACAAGCAAAGAACACAAAAGAAGGCAGAGGTGGAGGGAAAAGATCTTCCAGAGCATGCAGTGCTCAAAATGAAAGGCATGGAACATAATCTATACTGTGTTCTAGGATGTTGAGTATCTGTTTAAAGGAGTAATGTAAAATTCAAAATTTCTTGCCTTAAACAATTAATGCCTCTTTAAAAAAAACTGGAAGACTTCTGTAACTTTGTTAAGACAACACTATATTGTGTTCCCTCTGCTGCAGCCCTTAACACTATTCAGTCATGATATGCTTCATGCAGATGCACAAAGCTGTCTTGGCATTAAAGTGCCCTAGAAAACGAAGCTGAACATGTTTAGTGGACATGTATTCCCAGTTCAACCTTATAGGGAGAATGTGTCAAGCGTTCAAGAATCTTGCTCTTAGCATCTTGAGTGACCATTACCTGTCTTATATTCCTTTTATATAGGAGGGGAACTTTGGCTTATTCTGATGGTTTCAGAAATAAATACTGAATATTGAGGGCTCTCTGTCTTGTAGGAAATTTTACTCTGCCAGAGGTATCAGAATGTTTTGATGAAATAATCTACGTAGAGTTGCAAAAAGATGAAGCCCAAAAACTTCTGGAGCAATACAAAGAAGAAAGCAAGAAGGCCCTTCCTCCAGAAAAAAAGCAGAATACTGGTTCAAAGAAAAGTAATAAAAAGAGTGGTAAAAACCAGTTTAACAGAGGTGGACAGAGAGGACGTGGTGGATTTAACATGCGTGGCAACTTCAGAGGAGGAGGTAGACAGTAGTGCAATTTGTCCTTCTATGTTCCATATACTGTAGGAAACAGCCTTAAATGCCTGATCTAAAGAAGAGAAGATCTATTAAGGGTTTACGCCTATATCTAATTCTCCAGAGGCTGAGGCTCAGGCACAAGGAAGTATCAGTATTTGTAAAGTAGGATAAAGACAGTGCTATGCAGCTGTTTGAGTATCACTTGTAAAGAGTAGTTTGTCCGATGGTTAATGTGAAAGTGCCCGGTGGTGGCTGAAAAAGTTGGGATTTGTCAGTTCCTTTCCTTACAACAATTCTTAAGCAACTGTATTGGGGGTCCTGCAGATGATTGCCAGTTGAGGTTTGAATTTGAGCTGCAAAGTTTTAATGTTGTATTTTTTCCATAGGGTATGCTGGGTGTTGGGCAGAGGCTGACCAATGAAGGGTAGTGGTTGCTTGTAGTCTTATGTGTGGCTTTCTGGGGTAATACGGTTTTTTAAAAAAACATGCCACAGACATAGTATGAGTAGCATTTTTTTCCCCCACAGTCCCTGGAAATCGTGGTGGCTATAACAGGAGAGGTGGCAATATGCCCCAGCGAGGAGGTGGAGGAGGTGGTGGCAGTGGTGGAGCCATAGGCTATCCATATCCTCGTGGTCCTGTCTTCCCAGTAAGAGGAGGTGGTGGTGGTGGAGGCTATTCAAACAGAGGAAATTATAACAGAGGTGGAATGCCCAACAGAGGGAACTATAATCAGGTAATGTGTTACTAGAGCCAGGAAATACAAAATACGTTGAATCAGTAATAGTTTCTTAACATACTTTACCTGATTCTATGGTCTTTAATCAAGAAATGATATCAATGCTCATAATTCAATTTTGTGTGCAATTGTAATCAACAAGACTCCAAGTGGTTAACATTCTAAAGATATAAATATGTATATACGACAATAGAACAATCAGGCACAACCCACAAACCACATTTAATGTTAATACTAGTACAGAATCAATTGATTTCCTAATCCTTACATTTCTTTTTCAAATAAAAATTATGATGCTAAATGGATCTAATTCTAAAATATTTGTAGGTTGAGATAGTAATTTTAAAAGAAAGTATAGTAATTTCATTACAGTATTTGAATTGAGTTCTGACAGATTCCATGTATATTTTGTGCAGCATTGTATATTATAATCATAGCTATTATCTCTTTAAGTCACTTGAACAGAGCTTTTAGAATTCCCTCTAAATGGTTCATGGCTCTTGCACATGATCAGAAAATAGCTTGCAAACAAATTTTCAAATATACTATGGTGTATAGGGGACATGCTCTTAGTATTAAGTATAGCAGTTTCTTCTAGAATAAGTTTATATCTAAGTGGAGTACAAAACCTATTTTTCTCAACTAAAACAACTTGATTGGATTGACAGTGGTTGGTGTCCAACAGATACTCCAACTGAACCCATTTCTTGTTTTGTAGAATTTCAGAGGGAGGGGAAACAATCGTGGCTACAAAAATCAATCTCAGGGCTACAACCAGTGGCAGCAGGGTGTAAGTATGCTTTTCAGTTTCAAATAATTTTTGTTGCATGTCCCTCATTCTTTTTGCAAGACTCTTAAGTAAGCCATAAACTTAAATTTGACATAACATTGTGTTATCTTTGTTCTTTTACAGCAATTCTGGGGTCAGAAGCCATGGAGTCAGCATTACCACCAAGGATATTATTGAATTCCCAAATAAAATGAACTGATCCATATTTCTTCAAAACCTTCACAAGAAATCGACTGTTTTCTTTAGTAGGCTAACTTTTTAAACATTCCACAAGAGGA